GTTATGAGTTGGAGCAACATGCCTGAAGAGCAGCACTGCGCTTTGAACGAGACATACGCCCACCATGCTCCAAAGTATTATGCCTCTAAAGTAAACACACAGCGATAAAATGAATTAAGAAAAAAATAGGTAGGAACAGGAATACACAATATGTGCAAATGTATCTAACCTTCAACTCAGCTTCAGATAGGAAGACAATAAACTTTTTGGCAAGGCAACCCTCGTCCTCACATAGAAAATGGTCTCGTCGGAAGTGGATCTAAAAAGTTTTAAGTTATTTTGAGTAATAAGACAATTCAAATGTCAAACTTCAAAATCATTAGCACAATGATGCTATACCTCCAAGTCATCATAATCCTTGTAGTACTCGTATTGTCCTGGATTCTGCCTGCATATAAGAGACACCTCATTCCCCATTCCATAAACCAATTACTTTGTAATTCTACAGTTCAGAAAAATTACCTTTGACATAAATGACAAGTATAATGTTCTGTAGACATGTGAGTATAAAGCTCGTTATCCCCATAAAATGGTGTTCGGCAGAATTCACACATAGGATGTCCTGTAAAGCCACCTCGTTCACTTTCAGTTCCATCGACCTCTGAGTTACCCGTGTTTGTATGCTGCATCAGCTGTGATTTTGTATACAACTTCTGCTCGCAGATAAAAACCTGACATTATAGTGTATCTTGTTAGGACACTATCATCACAATTAGCAACCTGTCAGAAAGTAATATATATAGTTATATACACACAAATAAATATAAATAATATGCAATGGGACCAACTAGTTTCCATCTGCGAATGCTAATAAAGGTCCTACTGAATTCCTATGAAATTAACAACCCCCTGGTGTATTTACTCCAAGACCTTGCGAAAGAAAAAGACATTGTTTGACTTTACTCCCAGATATACCCTTATATTCCCATATTTATCCATGAAACAGTGAGATTTGAAGCACAGCTGCCAAGTAGTGCATACTTAGTGGGGTGGCAATACATACAGGCCAGTTTAAAACTGATGTTTCACCAACTTTGTTGTATTGTTACAGAGCAAATTTCGAGCAACTGAATCTTTAGCTAAATTCAAACTACTACAAGATATCATTGAACATATTTGTATTAACCAGCCCATAACTTAATCTAAGGATCAATATCTTATCATTATGCATCAGCAAATCTATTCTGCTCGCTTCTAAGTTTCCGAAGGCTGAGAAATAGATATCAGAATGAGAACATCACCCACATAACATGCAGTAAAGCTTTACACCCACAAGACTACATCTATGTAATGACTTCCACGTAGGACATGAAACATCTTCCTCATCATGAATAGTGTTTCCTTAAATTATATCGAAGTAGTACATAGAGAATAAAAGCCAATATATAGAACAGACATATGTGAGAAGAAAGAAAGCGGCATGCACACCTTTCTTCCTTCTAAGCACAAGCTGCACATATTCAACCTATGCTTGTGGAACAGATGACCCTTTAGCTGCTCAATGTTCCTAAACCTTGCCCTTCTCCTGGAGCCATCATCTGGCTGGTCCCCCATTTTATCACACACGCTGCAAGAAAGCCTACACATGGCTTTGATCATCTTATAATGATCCAAGTCGTCAAAAAATGCCTGTGTATCTTCGTGATACCAGTACCGCCCCACTCTACCTTCTTTGGCTTCAGAAGGCAATAACGAAAAATCATTGATAGTCTTAGTATAGTCTCCCAGAGCCTGGGAACATCAAGCAAGCATACAAATCAATCAGTAAGTAAGAGAAAAAACAAAAAAGCGTCAGCAATCCACTCAACATAACTCAAACTCCAACCATAACTAAATAAAGCAACCCATATGTAATTTAACTTCACGACGAAGCTCCACGTTTACTATATTATTAATTTACTATATCTGATTATAAATGTCTTCACAAATGCGTAGAAATCGAATAGATCAGATAAATCTAAACTCGTAAGGAGGCAACCTTGGTGATGAAAACAACGTCAGATTCCGTCTTGCATATACAGCACCGACGATCATCGCATATGAATCGGAGGCGAGCCACGCAAGTAGAGCAAACATCCTTGTGGCCGCAGGCACCGTACGCCACCCACTCCAAGCTTTCCGCACATACTGCGCAGCTATCGTCCATCACCCTTGGGCTCTGAATCTGAAATCTAGCGTGTAGGAGACAATCGTGAGCGTGGTGATTCGTTGCGAATTGGGTGTGTCTGTCGATTGGAGCTTTTTGTAGGGTTTGTAATTTGATGATTTCCGATAGAGCCACAGGTATAGAAAGTGGGGTAAGACCGAGAGACAACGTGGATACATAAACCGGGCTAGCCTCTTTAAGGTCAAATTCGCAATTTGTGCATATACAATTATACATACGTGGCCAACACACTTGACTCTTGAAGTTGAACCTAGGGTTGTAAACGAATCGAATCAAAGCGAATACTCAGAGATTCGATTCGATTCGTTTAAAATATTCGAAGATTCGATTCGTGATTCGATTCGATAACGAATTCATTTTTTGATTCGTATTCGATTCGTTTAGAATATTCGAACATATTTGATTCGATTCGAAATTCGTTTTCAAAAAATATTATAATTAAAAAATATTATAATTACAAAAATAAATTTTATTTTTCATGTATTTTTAGAAAATTTAGTTAATTTATGATGTTTTTACTTTTTATGTCATAAAAATATTAGGAATATAACAATATATATATATATACATATATTATAAACAAAATGTATATTATATATAATTTGTATAAAAATATTATAATTAATAAATATTATAATTACAAAAATAAATTTTATTTTTCATATATTTTAGAAAAAATTGTTAATTTATGATTTTTTTACTTTTTATGTCATAAAATATTAGAAATATAACAATATATATATATATATACATATATTATAAACAAAATGTATATTATATATAATTTGTAAAATTTATATAATTATTGTTAACGAATCGAATTTCGAATCGAATATCTACACATTCGAATTCGAATTCGTTATAATTTCGAATCTAAAACATCATTCGAATTCGAATTCGAATTCGAATATTTCGAATTCGAATCACGAATTAACGAATCGAATCACGAATCGAATCAAAATGGTTTGATTTGTTTACAACCCTAGTTGAACCGTCAATTCCAAATCAAGTTTGGCGGGTCATCATTCTTAAAAGAAAAAATAAATAAAAATATGTTGGGTAGTGGTTTCTTGTTAGACTTAGGGCTAACATTTTTTACAAAATCAAAGAACAATCCAACCGAATTGAACCAACAATACAAGACGAAATCAATTTTTTCGGTTACCATCTCTATTTCGAATCGATTTCGATATTGATTCATATATGTTTCGGTAATGCTGAAATAAATTGAAGATAATAGCTTTTTTAGGTCAACTCAAAGCTCATACTATAATTGCATATGTCTAAAAGTCATATCCTAATTTTTTTATGTCAACTTTGTTGCACCTAAAAATATTCGATCACAAAAACTCCAGAATGATGGAAGCTCATTTAAAACAAGGCCCACTGAGCCCAGTAGTTCTCTCGCGAGCATCCTAATATTGCAAAGTTAGGGTTGTCGATCACCCAATTGGCCAGTCGATCGCCCTCGAAGCCATATAGAGGAAGTTTGACGATCACACTCAAGTCTGAAATATGAACTAATCAAACTGGTGGTACCGCTCAATCTGTCCCATCAAACTATACATGAAAATACGCGGCGCCACCTACACCTAGTTGGCACCTAATTTTTAATGTGTTATCACCTTTTTCGTGTATAAATACTGAATCCATCATCAATATCATGTATCACCCATCCATGATTAATATCCTCGTATATTGGTTTCTCCCCCTTCACGTCACCAAACATTACATGATGATATTTCGAGAAAAGAAATTGAAGTTATATTTCTAATCAAGCTCTTATTCATGTTTATTGTTGCATTCGGATTTTTTTATGCAATTTTTATTTATTATTTTTAAAAATTATTAGGAAGAGAAGGCTCACACATCACTGTAAGTGTTGTAGCACAAATTATTATTTTTACCGAGTATCGAATCGAAATATTCGTTCCCCGGCTCGATCTCACGAGGAAGGCGATTCGGAATTTAGCAAACGAAATATAGATGGAGAAGCTAGGGAGTCGGGGAATTAATTCAAGTTTCACTCGCACACCGGGACATGAATCATTCTATTCTAGATTGATGCTCTCGCTTAGACATCTAGCGGTTCGCTCCCAATAACTCTTCGAAATAAGGGATTGGACATAGACGAATAAACTCGAGCATACGACACATGCCAATTATCCTAATCCCAATAACTTTTCGTAACAAGGGATGGGTCATCGACAAGCGCGTATTTCAACCCAAAACTTATAGACTAATCAGTTACGACATCGTCTACCTCATGCAAGCCTAGGTCTACGAATTCTCCCCTTTCGGGTCTAAAAATCACATAGAATCGACAAACCCTAACTCGACAAATTAACATCCAATTGTCACCAAGAGCAAGATCGAAATGTCACTTTTCGATTATATCAATCTATCGAACAAGAATTCAACAATTCTGAATCAACTAAATCCACACAAGAACAAACAATTCACGCCCGAGAGATACGAATTAAATAAGAAAAATCATCCCCTAGCCCTAGCAATAAGAATTAGCTACGCAATACCGATTCAACACAATCAATCATCTCTATCAATTCAATCATTTTTTCATGAATTAAAAATAAAGAGAAGAACTTACAATAAATTGCAATTCGAGTGTTGAATCCAAAATTACAAAGCTTAATCCTTGAATTGCAAGAAAAAAAAAAGGAAAAAAAATGGAAGATAAAGATGAAAGAAGAAGGAAGAAAGGAGAAGAAGAAGAGGGGAAGGAGAAGGGAGTTTTTGTTCGTGTTTTTTCTCCCTAGGTTCGTCCCCAGGAGGGGGAGAATGAATCCCCGAATCGTTCAAGAAATCTACTTTTATAACCTATTTTCGCGACCTCCGCGGCCGCGGTGAAGTAAGCCTCCGCGGCCGCGACACACCACCAACTTTCCCCAAAATTGTTGAAAGAACATCTTTCATACCAGCTTCGTATGCTCCGAGGCCGCGGGATTTTTTCGCTGAAGTTGGGACTTTGGCAGTTTTTTATTCGCCGCGGCCGCGGTGAAGAAAGGGGTTGCGGCCGCGGCGAAGAAAACTGGGCTGCACTGCACGACTTTACGATTTTTGCTCGTTCGGGTTCGTTTGAACTCGAAATTTGTTTTTTTCTACGCGTCGCTTACGAACCCCTCTATCTAACTATGCAAACCCATCAAATATTTTCTTGAAAACTTGTCCTCCCAAAGCTTATGACATGCACACCAAAAATGTGATTTGCGCGACTTAGCTGTTTGAGCCCGTTCGGGCTTGTCCGAGCTCAAAATTGAGTTCCGCTTCTTTCTATATGTCGCCAACGAACCATCTTCACAACCATGATTTCCCGTTCAATTTTCACACTAAATCCATTCCTCATGGGGCTTCCGACCTGCACACCAAAAACAAAAGAAAACTGGAAAAACTCACGAGAAACAAAAGAAATACCAAAATAGATCAAATCACGCAATAAACTATAAAAATGAATAAAACCCAATGAAAAGACTCAATATGGGGGAAAAAGAAAGACAGAAAGATAACGAAAAATGCAACAAAAATGGGACAAACAACTCTCCCACACTTAATCCTTTGTTCGTCCCAAACAAAAAGAAAACAAAACAAGACACGAGCATGGATACGATTTCAAATAAGAAGAGCTTCAAAATGTCCAATTCAATCAAGTCGAATTCCAACAAACATACGACCATATGCCTCAAATATCAACTTGACCATGAAATGACAAACTCTTAAAACATAGATTATCATGAATGCCTCACTCATTTTCTTACATGAAGGAGTGATAGGAACGCTCAAAATTGGTCAATATTCAAGTTTCAACATATGCTTGTCAATCGTTTAAATTATTCGAAAACAATCAAAGCTCAAAAATTTGCGAATCAAGAGGGCTTCACGGGTTGTAATGCGGGTTTAAGGTCAGGATATATGCAAGAAAAGCAACTCAAACAAACAATCACAATTCTCGAGCAAATAGATAGCTCGAGTTTTCCGCTACCAATCTGGCGTAAACATGACAACACCTTCACCACCCAACCAAAGCAACTCCACAAACAACACCTAAGTGCTCTAATCGAATTGCAACATCACTTGACCCATTTTTTTCTTTTTTTTTTTTTAATTTATTTGGAGAGTAAATTTTTCCGAACAAGATCGAATCAAAAGGACAACATTTTATAGGTTTAAACATTGGAGGTCATCCAAGTGTCCTACAATAGTCTCCCAATGCTCATTACCCGTCAACGTGAATCGACTAGTAAGAGGAGCAGAGTCCATTCAATTTGTCCTGTGAGCTCTCATGTTTTTTTTTCTATCTTTTTTTTTTTTTCAAAAGGTCAAGCCAATAAAATGCAACTCAAATTTTTTTTTCTATCAACGGACGAAGCATTCACGACCACGTCTGCCTATATGGCGTTGGTGCAGCCCTTTGGAAGGCGGAGCGATAGGTTAAGGTCATCGATATGGCGGTGGGTGGGCCCGCAGAGAGTTCGTACTTTTTTTATGGCTAGCCACTCGGGATTGCTTACTGACAAATGCTTCTCGACACCGTCGACACATGGCGCCGAGCCCGGTCTATTTGCTCTGTCAGTTGGAGGGCGAGTCCACACTCCATGCGCTGTGTAATTGTCTGACGACATCTCAAACCTGAAAGATAGTGGTTCCCGGCGGGCAGTGGAGTGTCTTCTTCTCACGGGAACTTCGAGGATGGCTCTTCCACAATATGTCTGGCAGCCTAAGCAAGGCAAGCGAGAATCGAAGCTCATTGTTCGGTCTCACGACTTGGCATTTATTGCGATGGCGGAATTTAAAAATATTCCAAGGGTCCGACATTCCCATGACGCAACGCATTGACGAGGTGTTTTCATATGCGAACATGGGGCGGTGCGCTCTGGCTTATAGTGAAAAGCTTGGGGCAAGTGGACTACACGAGGTAAGTTGGATTTCGTGGTCGTGTCCGATGGTAGATGAGTTGAAGGTCAATACGGACGACAATTTCGACCCCTCAACGGGGATGACTAGTGCCGGCGGAGTCATTCGTGATCATCTTGGGAGATAGGTGCACGATTTTTTTTATGAATATTGGGTATTGCTCAATCATTAGCACAAAACTATGGGGACTGTTCCAGGGGCTATGTTTGGCTTAGGACATCGGTGCACAAAAGATGAAAGTTGAAGTTGACAACAAGAGCATTATCGAGATTGTATGGAATTAATGAGCAGTATGGTGGCCACATGGTTGTATTCTAAGGAGCATCAGGTAGTTGTTTGGTCGGATTATTTGGCATCTTTGACGGCAAAAAGACCGGGTGGTCTTCACAGGTTGGATAGCCCCCACCGGGGGCGAGCATATGGTTAGACCATGATTTGATCGACGTGTCTTATCCCCAGAGGATCGTTACTTAGGTTATGCGAAGGCCTAGCCTCCCTTATTGTACAAAAAAAATAGGTGTTTTTTAAACTCAAACGGGCAAAGCCTGTGAAAATAACTCATTTAATATCTTTGTGTCGTGCATTACGTGATAGTTAAATAATAACATGAATATAGTAAAACTGAATTTGGAAGTTATATCAATATAATATAATTTTTTTGATAAAAAGAATATAAAATGGTGAAATACACATATTGAAGTGCCCGCGCCCGACCACCAATATAGCCGGTTAAACTGGCCAATACCGTTCTACAGTGCGGGATTTACATCGATGAATTAAGGAAATAAGCACATGTTTGGTTGTATGTATTGATAAAACCTTTTTTTAGTAATGCTATAGATACATAATATATCTATATATATATATATATATATATATATATATATATATGATTATTTTTAAAATAGTAACTATTTCCTGCAAAAAGAAATATTATTTACTATATGTGGAAATAAATCTATTATATATGGTATAAATTAATTAATATATGGTTTAAAGTGGACGATTTTATTTTTAATATCTGATGGTTGTTTGTATGATAAATTAATCAATCAATATATGGTATAAAGTGGTTGAATTTAATTTTTTAGTACTTGATAGTCATTTATATGGGAAATAAATCAATCAATATTTAGTAAAGTGGATAAATTTATTTGGATTATTTGATTTTTTTTTAATTTTTTTTTTATGTTGGTAGGAAACTTGCTGGGAAATTAGTTAATGGGAAAATTATTACAAGACCCAAATTTTTTGTAATTGTATCAATTTAAGGCCTAATTTTTGTATCTTAGTACATATTTTATGACAATAAATTTTAGAATAACATAATAGTTGAGATTATGATGAATAAATAGAGGGAAATTTTATTTTAGTATGAAATGTACAAATTTAAATGGCATGAATTTCATTTGGTATGGATAAAAGTGTATTTGAAATTTAAAACAAAATAAGTGGTATGGATTTTATTTAGTATGGGTATGAAAGTCGAATTTTAGGTTGATTCGTTATAAAATCAAGGTGATATGATTCTCAAATTGTAGCATATTCCCGTAATAAATTATCATAAGATATTGATGATAATATTCGATAAATTGGTATGTATTACTATTCAAAATTGGAAATATATTTGAATAAATATTTGGTAATAAAAATTTAAAATTTGAAAACTAATTATAGATAATTAGTTGATAAATTTGAACAACAAGGTAACCAAACAACAAGTATAGAAAATTTTGAGATTAGTACAATACAGATACATATAGAATATATAAGAGAATTTATTGTGTAGTCCAAGTTTGCTTTCTTTATTTAAAATACAAATAACTAATTTACTTACGGGACAATATTAACTTTGACGTAAATAGATAGTCAATTATTTATAGTTTACTAAATTACTCAACTCCTTTAAATTTTTGATTTGTTAGTTTATAAAAAATAAATTTACTTTAATTAATGAAAAATATAAATTTTAATATTAGTATACTTATTATTCACATTGATTTTTAAATATATGATAATATTTTACCAAAATAAAATTTTATAGAACCACATTGTATTCAAATCAAAATTTTGAATAAAAATTTGAAAAATTGAAATGAATATAATGTAATTTATTGTCATTAGTGTGCACCGTACGAGTTGTGTATTAATTTTAAATAGACACGACTTATATAATTTTGCACAATTTAAACTTCATATAACACTTTTAGGTATATTAATTCTATTTTTTTTATAAAAATTTTTTTATGATTATTTTTCAATTACAAATATTAATGAGTATCACCCGTGCATAGCACGGGATTGGTACTAGTTGTACATAAGAGTACATAATACACACATTGAGTGAGACATATACAAAATTAAAAATTAATTGGACCACACTTTATGTGAGTATTATGTACAAATCTATGTACATTTCTTATGTACTTGTAGCATTTTTTTTTTTATTGTTTTTTTCAAACCATATGAATCTCATATCAGCATATAATCCCATATTGATAAAACAACTATCAGCATAATCCAATATTCCCAGCTTAATTCTAAAAGCTACACTGGAAACATTTTCTTCACTCCCCAAGTCCCAAACCCCTAAACCCCCAAACAACTACTCTGAACAAAATCTTACTAAAAATTTATAAGAAAACAAAATGCTGCTCCGGTCGCTCCTCCGAGCAACCGCCGCCGCATCACCGCTCAAGCAATCACAGTGGCATCTCACTGTGTGCCGTAGCATGGCCGCGAAGGCCTCCAAACCTCCCAACCCCCCTACTAAAGGGAAGAAACCCCAGTCCAAATTCGATCACAGGGACAAGAAACAGGAAGAAATGCAGGCAGTTAATCCCGAATCTTCCGCCAAGGAAGAAGCCGAACTCCGCCGGCGCCAGCTGGCGGAGGATGAGAAGAACCCCGCCCTTGACGTTGGGCCCAACGGCCGCCCTCTATTCGCATCCGCTTCCTCTCTCTCTTTGCTCAACAAGGACGACGTCAATACTTACTTCAAATTCAGGCAATACATTCTTCCGATAATCTTTTATTATCGGTATTGAATTGGTGGCTGATTTCTTAGTCTCAGTTTGGTCTGATCCTCCAGTATTTTGAATAGCTCGAGAGTTGGTTTCCTGTTCCATATGGCGGTGTGATGAAGTGTTTGGCATCTCTAACTAGATTTAGTAATAGATGTCTGAATAATATGTATAGAAGTGTTTGGTGCTGTTGAAGTTTATTAGGTTATTGTGAATTAGTTGTTTCGCTATCAAATTCACTATATTTTTTAAGTTTTTTCGAATCCTGCCTCGATTGAATTGATTTGCTAGTATTACATTGACAAATATTTCCGTCTTGCTTATTGAGTAACATGATATATTGACGTTTTTTACAATCATTGTATTAAATGTGTCAGTGTTGAGTGTCGGGTAGTGATTGGTAAGTGCAATCTGTTGATTCTGTTTGCAGCATGGACGAGTTAAAAAGGTTTTTGCCGGAGGGCCTGCCATTGGGAATGATGAAGGAATTTGAGGAATCAAACAGGAGTGCCTTGTTGGTGAGGCAGAGTTTCATTGATCTCCGTGATAATTTTTGTCAGGCTGCTAATCCTTCCATTGAGGTTAACTCTAAAGGTACACTGTTTACACCATTTTATTTGTTTACTTCCTTCAGCAGTATTAGGTTGTTATTGGGTACAAGATTGTATGAATGGTCGTAGAAAGACGCTGTTATAACTGAAAGCTATTGGATTTTTTTTATAAGGATTCTTATCTGAGAGAACTCGAGGTTTGACCAGCAGTATTAATTTCCAACTGAATGAAGCTTCTGCAATATGCAGTTGTTATATCAATTAGATTTTGAGTCTTTATTTCTACATGCCAATACTGTTCTTTATCCTTAACAAACTGATTACCTGAAGTCTTTGATATCTAGACCTTATCCACGTGAGAATTTTTACCTTGAAAACCTCACAAATTAATAATTAGCTTTGTCTCTCCTTAAACGGGAACCTAGCAACATGAAATGCTTCCCCTGCATTTGTTTGAAAACGACTGAACATTGGTGAATTAAATTTCAGCTCCCAAAGTTAAAAAGCAAATTGTGTTAGATGGGCCCTTGAGCTGTGGGAAGAGTATTGCACTAGCAATGCTTGTTTACTGGGCTCGCAAGGAAGGCTGGCTAGTGCTTTATGTCCCCAAAGGTCGAGAGTGGACACATGGTGGGTTATTCTATAAGAATCGTCAGACTGGTTTGTGGGATACCCCTTTGCAGGCGTCAAACATTCTGCAAGTAATATTTTGTACTTCTTCAGTTACATGTAATTGAAATTTTAATATGATCTAGTGTATCATTTATTTCTTTTCATTATTTGGTTTTTTTAGTGCCGAGGGGATCATTTTACATTTCCTTGGCCTTTAACATTACAATTTCTAATGGACATTTACTAGAATGTGCTGCTTTCTTACAGCGGATTGTTATTGTGACAGTGGGTATTAATGACTCATAACTCGTAAGTGAAACTTAATTGTGGCCTGTGGGTGTTATGGTTATAATAAATTTATACCTTAGAATGAGTTAATAATTCCTGGATTTTGATTATAGTATAGTCTGCTCATATCATATTATCTCTGCTCAGATCATATTATATCCGTTTTCTTTTAACTAAACTGATGGCAGCATTAGACACTTTCCTCATTTATGGAAATCTGCAGTCATTATGTTGGCATGCATTTTTGTGTATGCTGTTTCTTAGTATTTTGACTTCCTCTGTTCTTTACTAGGAATTTTTGAAGTTCAACAAGCCTTGCTTGCAAGGTTTGAAATGCAACATACTGGATCCTATTCCATTAGGAGAGGGTGCTGGTGTTGGGTGGCCCAAGGGTCGCGATAAAATGCCAATTTCTGAAGGGACAACTCTCTATGAGCTTGTTGAGGCTGGTCTAAACGACAGTCATGCTGCTGTTGGAGTGGTCGTTCGATTGAGGAAGGAATTAGCAGAAGTGACAAGTGTTCCTGTTCTTTTTGCAATTGATCAAGTGAGCATTGCAATGATCTTTTTTTTTTTTTTCCTTATTTATTTACTTTCCCAATGGGTATTTTGCCTTTGAATCACTTGCCCATGCTTCTGACCAACTAATGCTGTATTTGAACAGTATAACAGCTGGTTTACATTCACTGATTTTGAGGAACCAGTAACAGTTCGGTCTTGCCGGCCTGTTCATGCTAGAGAACTCGCTACTGTAAGTTGAGTTTGTTATGCATATGTGGAAAGTACAAGAATTCTGGTGGCCTGTAAAGTGTTTAGACTTTTGAGTAACTTCTGTCTGTCTTGAATTGTAAATTTCAGAATATTGACTATATGTGGCACTCAGTTTTCTCTGATCCGCCCTTATGAGTTATGATCCTTGCTGTTGGTGTTTCGATACTATATAATTATAATGACATTAACATTTGGTTTCTGTCGTCCTTTTAGCGTGCATATTCTGTTCCGTCCTGCACGTGTTAGCTATCTCGTTCTGTCATGAGAATATAGTGATTTTACTTGAGAACTATTTGGACTTCTGTGCGTTCTGAACTTGTTTGCCAATCATAATTTTTTAAGGTGAAAATTTTCTTAAAACTGATAGCAAACTTGAAGTTGATTGCCATGGAATGGTACCTGTTTTCCATAATTTTCCGAGGGTATTTCGTTATATATATTGTTTTAGTAAGAATATTCTAATGTCAAATGAATCAAAGCTTAATTGGGGATAAACAAACTTGGAATCGTTGAAAAGAGTAAAGAATATTAGCATATTGTGTTTTAAATTATAATTTGGTAATGCATATGTTTTTTGTTTTCTGGAAGGTGCTATAGTCAAATTTACTAGTCTTTTGCCTTTTCATCTACTCTAGGCATGGGCTGCCTTATTTACCTTATATCTTGCATGAGGCTTTTGTCATCTGTATAATGCAGGTAAACACGTTTAGGTCTATGATGCACGATGACATGATGGTGGGTGCCTTTTCCCATTCGACTGCTGTGGGGAAATTGCGTCAAGAGTTGCCTGATGTTCCTGCTGATGCTCGAAACTATTTTCCTCGGTACAGTTTAGATGAAGCTAATACTGTCTGCCACTACTATCTCAGGTCTGCTTGTCCAAACTTATTAATTATAAGATCATAATTGCAATCTTCATGTTGCATTAGCTAAACAGCCTAAACTTAGCTCCAGTAACTCGTTCCATATTCATTCGTCAGGATCATCTGTACCTCTTTAGTATCAGCCTATTTACGTAGTTATGGATAGGTGTCGCTAGTGTGCTGAGTGCTCAGTGCCAAGTCATTGTCCAAAAGCTTTATCTTCATGTGATATTTGATACCCTGCAGGCAAAGACTTGTGAGACGAGATGCATTCACGGAGGCCAACTGGAAGAAAATTTTCTACTTGTCCAATGGAAATGGAACAGAGATGAGACGCCTGGTGCCATTCATGCGGTGACCTAAAAAAAATAAACGATTGAATGCTACTCTGTGTAATGCAGAAGATGGAGGCCTTCCTTTCTCTTTTAAGAAAAATAGTTTTGTTTCAATCTTTATTGCCCGAGGAACAATGAATCTTTGTTTTAAAGGTATCATTTTTACAGCAGCATTTTCTTTTGTCTGACATGAATATGAGAAACTACTGGCACTTTTTTGTTTGTACCTTCACATTTTCTTTTGTTGGGGTTTCCACAAACAAGGTAACTATCCTTATATGGATTTCCAATTTAATTTTCAAAGCTTTGATGTGTTCTGGAGAAATAGCCAAGTCTGCCAGCATAATATCCGTCAGGCGTCAATTATTTATTATTCATAATGCTCGCTTCCTGTAAGGAAGAGTTTGCACATTTATTGTTGCATTACAAACAGAAAACATAACACAAATCACAACACACGATAATTAAACATAACTCTTAACAAAGCTCACAAATCACATCGTATCCATAGCGGGTCATCAAATTGGCCCGTCAACTTATCCTCCCCATTTTCATCCCTTAAGCATAGACGTGTAAAACTTCCACTCACCTCATCACCTGAAACCAATGCCCTCGAGTGCCAGGCTGGCGTCCCGTTCTCATACCCATTCCATGTCAGCCTCCTCAAACAACTCCCATCCAACCTCACCAAGTACAAATCCCCATACGGCTGGAACTGGTTCGGCAGCCCCACAGGCTCAGCCGTCACACCCCCCAAATTTGCAGTAAACAACAGCCATTCCCCATCCACACTGAAGCAAACATGGTTCAACCTCTCCCTCTCTTCCTCGACTCCTGCCACCTGGACCCTCGTCACACCCGTGCCATCTGGCTTCACCAAATATATCCCGAAAGCATCTGTGTTGTCCCGATTGTGCCGGTTAGAAGAGAAGGCAATTAGCTTCCCGTCAGGCGACCAACTCGGCATTGTGTCTATCCACGGCCCTTCCGTAAGCTGGCGGATTTCCCCCTCTATCTCACCTTTAACTGCACCGACTATGTACAGATTCTTGTGGCCCGACCGTCCGGAACGGAACACGATGGATTTCCCATCAGGTGAGCAGGACGGGAAGGCATTGTTACCCGTGCCCTTTTTTGTGAGAATTTTGATTTCTACAGGGACCCGATTACAATTACCGGATAGATGTTTAGGGTCGAACGTGACACGAGCGATCTGCACAGCTGTATCCTCGGACTCGAAGATCGGGCCAATGGATGTGAAGATGACATTGTCGTTAACTGGGCTCCACGAATTGCAGAAGGCTGATCGGTTCTCGATAAGCGTCCACCTCATGGAGCCGTCGGATTTCACGACCTTGAGGCCGGCGTTGGGTCCTCCCAAGTTGTGATTGAAGGCGACGAGGTCTCCGGAAGGGGAGAATGCCGGGAAATTGCCGTTGAGCCTAAACATGTCGAGCTTTGGAGTTGGACTGGTGATCGGATCGAGATGTGGGACGGTGGACTCACCCGGACCCGATTCCCCTCTGAACCGATGGTAGCCGAGGTAATTGGATTCAGGTGAAATGAAAGGACTGTAGTGGTGGATATCAGGGTTTATACGCTCGGTCACCGGATGGAATTTCTGACGATCCACGTCGAAAATCTCGATGTGGCGGTATTTGCTGCCCTTGCGTCTTGTGGCAACGGCGAGCTTGTTGCCACTGTGATGCATTGCGGCGGGAGTGAAACAATGGATGCCCGGTGGCGTGACTCGGATGGGTGCCAGTGCCAGTGCCAGGGAGGCGCTGGTCGACGCAAAATTGTTCGGTAAGTCTGCTCTGTAAATGCTCCACCAACCATCGTTTGCCAAGAGGTGGAAGTACAGGGATGAGTCTCCGGACCACGTGGGCCAGCCTCCACGCTCGCACACCACAACACGATTCGAAGGATCAGACTCCTGGAAAACCACGATATTCGTTTCGAGATGGTGGAACTCGCCGTCCCATGGCCGGGACCCGTATGAAGCTACGGCGACAAGATTTCCGGAGCGTGAGACGGCCGGACTGTAATCAACGGAGCCGTAGGGCGTCAGCCGCACGGCAGCTTTCTCATTCTTCCTTTCGAGTCCGGTCGAGTAGAGAGCCGACCAGCTCCGGAACGGCTTGTCGGGTCGCTCGTGAGCTGAAATGAAATAGAGCCGGCAATTTTTCACGACGGGACGGTCGTGAAAGAGGCTTTCCGGCGGGGTATGGAGTTGTTCGGGGCTACTTTCACCCGGCCGGTTTAAGAAGATTCGGGCCGACCCGGTGCGCTCGGATATGAAAACGAGGGTCCCGTCCTCATCCACGAACTGGCCGTTAAAATTGACTGACCGGCCGTCTGTGAGGCGGCGCTCGGGAAATGGGTCGTCGAAATTGGATGGCAGGGTGACGGAGAAAACGTCGAACCCGTAATAGGGCCTGCCGACAGAGGTGAAAATGATAGTACCGGTGGGTGGATCCATAGCGCGTGAAATCTCGCGGTGAGAAAAGATAGATTGGGATTGTTTGTGTAGATTGTAATTTAAACGGCGAAATTGGCGGTGGATGTGACGGTGAGAGACGGTTGGCATTAAGGAATTTATAAGTGAGGCCGTTTAGGATAAGTTGAAGACGACACAGAGCAAAAGTGGTGGGGGAGGGGGAATAGCGTACGCTCTGACGTCACATTTCTATAAACTAGTATTGGACCTGTACATTTGCACAAATATAAATAAAGTAATGTGAGTTATTTGTATGTATATAAAGATTAATTATTTTTTCTTTTACCTTTTTGCTGGTCATATTTACAATTAAAGGAGTTGGAATATCTATTTTTTTTAATAATTGTGTTTATTAGATTCGATGTAATGTATATTTTGGTACGTCTTTTTTTTTTTAATTATTTATTATTTATTTAAGAATTTCAAACATGTTTTTTATTTTAAAAATAATAATAATAATTTAAATTTAACCACAATTATAATATCTAATCACATTATACGGTAAACACATTATATGGTCAACTGTCAATAATCAAAAGTTTAAAATGATTTTTGTAATTTTGAAGTGATTTGTGTTGATTATTTAATAATTAAATAAAAGATTAAATACATCAAAAGTAACGGTTTTTTTAGGGAAACGAGTTAAATTGCCACATCGGTAAAATTAAATAGGTTTTATTAAATGCTATTAGCTAGTATATATATAAATTTCGGGGGATTATGTTATGTGGCGGTGGCTGATTTTTCTCCAGAAGTTGTTTTTTGTCCTTTAATGGGACGATTTTATCACAACATGAATGAATTGTACAGTAAGATCCAAAAGAGTTTGTGATTTGTATATACAATAGAAATATTTAAATTTAATTACTTGTTGTGTTGTATACAATATGGGAAATATTTAAATTTAATTAATTATATTGAATTTTACAAAATAGCTATTTTAAATTTAAGTGTGTATTTAATTGAGATTTTTAAAAAAATTTGGAGAATTTTTAAGACTTTGAAAATTATGGTATAATTCAATTTAGCGTTCTCAAGACTTACAAAAGTTTTGAGATATTCATTTGGTATTCATCCCGATATATTTAGTTATTTGAGATTAAGATTTGTTAAAATTTTCTAAGATTTGTTGGAATTTCTAAAGAAATAAACATATACTAAAACTCATTACAAATCTCACATCCAAACTTAAAATTTCATAAGATTCCTCTAATTTAAAAATTTCAAATCTCGAATAGCCTTTAAATGTCACTCGAAATTTCAAACGCATACACCTACTTGTCGTGGATTTTACAATAGCTACTTGCTAAAGAAGTATGAATATCTAGTTGCCACTTAAAATTGGTAAATTTTACTAAGTGTAGTTAGGACTATATTGTCTAAAATCAGCTACTTGCTAAAGAAGTATGAATATCTAGTTGCCACTTAAAATTGGTAAATTTTACTAAATGTAGTTAGGACTATATTGTCGAAAAATTTTACTGAAATCAAAAACAACTTTAGTTACTAAAAAACAAAGTATCATAAATTAGTGAGAATAAATAGATAAAATATTGTGAGTGAATCAATTTTTTGATAATAAAAAAAATTATTTTCGAAATTCAAAGGTACTAAAGATAATAAGGAAAAAAGAGAAATGTAACGGCTACACAGTAAATGAGGTTTTGACCAATATTAACTTAGCAACACATTAATACAAATCAAATATGTTTTTATAATAAAATAATAAAAAAATATAATTGAAAAGTAACGGTTTTTGGCGGGAAAGTGCCACATAGGTATAATTTAATAGGTTTTATTAAATGTTATGAGCCAGTAATTATATATATATAGATTCTTATTTAAACTAAACGAGTCGAGTTTAAATTTATTTAAAGCTCTTTTGGTTAATGAATATCGACTATACAAGGCTCGAGAAGAAAAAAATTATATAAGATTTTATAGTTCAACTTCGAACTTGCTGAAGCTCCAAATCGATTCGTTAAAGTTTGAACTCATCCAAATTTACATTGTTTGTGGGTTTGGTATGCTAGATAAGAAAAGATATCACACCATCCACATTTCATAATGTACTTATAAAATTACTACATTTTTATAATGTACTTATAAAATTACCGATTATCTTGATTTTATAATCTTTTTTAACAATTATATTTTACCTATTGCTCGTTAACTAACTAACATTTAACTCATAAAATTTGTTTTCATTTATTTCAGTTTTGGATGCATGAATTATTAATTGTTTGATAATTAAATTAAAATTATAGTAATTTTAATTGCTTACGCAACAACATTTTTTCATACTACACTAAAATAATTTATATTCAAATTATTTGTTCATATTTATTTCTTTAATTTATTTTTTCAACTTATATAACGAGTGTGATAATATCCAATTTATATTTAAATAAATTACTATATTTCAATTGTTAACAAATGATATTATTTTAATTATGAATTTTTACTATATTATATTATTTATTCATTTTTATTTATTCAATAGTATATAAAAAGAATTTTTATTTTTCTAAGTTGAATCATTTTTGATGCATAAGATATTTTAAATGTAAAACTTATGTTTCTTACTAATTCACTGACTATCAAATAATAATTTTATTTATATATTAAATTTAAAATATCAACAGTATTCACAATGCAAATGATATATTCCACACACATATATGTCATTTTTTTATGGTTAAGTTGATTATATTTTATTATCTAAATTATTTATTAAATTAATATGATTCAAACACAATTGTTGTGGTTATTTGTTACATATTTTAAAAGCTTCTGATCGGTGAACATAATTAACATTATTAAAATCGACAACCATGAAATGATAAATATTATCTATATATATATAATTCCTGGCATGTAGCATTTAATAATACATTTAATAAAACCTCTAAAATTTTCCCTCCATTTTCGGTTACAAAATTTGACATTAATAGTCTTACATTAATATATCTTAATGAGTGTAATCATGTATGTTTATGTTATATTATATAATAGTTATTGCTAATACCAACTAATAATAATTCACAATAAATAAAAATTACATAATTATAAACAATTGTCAAGTTATGTATTTTAACATCAATATTATTTTTTTATTTTGTATCTCATAAAAAATATTTCTTTAAAAACAATTAGTAAATTGTTTTAATAGCATAGTTAAACAACTTTAGAATCTTATGTTTTAATAGCATAGTCAAACAACTTTAGAAGCTTATAAACAATTGTGTTAATAATAATAATAATAATAATAATAATATAATAATAATAATAATAATAATAATAATCAAACTGTTATTATCTAATGATAATAAATAATTATTCATAATAATAAAATCGTTAATTTATTTTTTCTAATGATCAAATTTTTGAAAATACAATATGTTCATTATCTAGAATTTTAATATTAAAATCTCAAATATTACTTAATAATATTTTATGTATATCTGTGCATGTGCACAGGATATCGACTAGTTTATGCTAAATAGATGGAAATATTTTCCTGCACAAAAAATGTTGTCAATTATAGTGATAATGATTCGTATATATTTAAGTAAAAATAATATTTTTCACTCCACTACAAAAATGTAATAAGTTTTTTACACCGCACGCTGATAAGTTAATTTTTCACTCCAAAATGCAAATGCATTTTGAGACGATTTTTTCACCACCGAGATAGTGGAAAGATAATGTGCGATGAATATACAATAGTTGTGTGATGGGTATGAGACAATTATGCGATATATTTACATTACCCTTTACACTTTTGTGGGCTGAAAAAAGTTAGTGTGAGAAAAAATTGTGTGATATAAATAGGGAAATTTTTATCCCTCATACACTTTTCAAAAGAAATTACAACTTTACTAAATACATGAAATTAATTGTGATTTTGCCTAAACGATAATATTTATCTACATCTATACTTATATAATAAGGTATCATATTTACCAAATTTAGTAGTTTGAAAAGTCAACATAATTAATGCATTGCTTTTCTATCCAAAATTTTATTTAATTTTTTTATTTATTTGTCTTATATCCCCATAAAATCAGTTTAAGAAAAAAATCCCATAACATATGATAACTAAAAAAAAGGACATAAAACCTTTACTAAAATATAAAAGGCTTTATTTATTTGTCTTTTTTCATATTAACATCGATTTTATCAAAACAAATCCCATAAAATCAGTGAAGTCAAAATTTGTACATAAAGTCTATCTATACTAAAAAAGACAGATTCAAAATTTCTTATCTAATTCTCTCTTATTATCTAATTGTATGGAAATCCATCCTAATTTTGTTCAATCCTCTAATTGTATTTGTATTATATCCTATAAACTCGATTTAACAAAAAAAACTCCATAACATACGATAAGTAAAAAAAACGTACATAAAATCTTTACTAAAAAAAGCTTTATTTATTATCTAATTTATTATCTAATTGTATGGAAATATATTCTGATTTTGTTCAAACCGAATACTGTATATTCAGATTCAGATTTTCTAATAAAAATATTAGCAGCAATATATATCTACTCTACCCATTATAAATTACAAATCTCAAAATATCGAGTCATCATCTTCCTCACTGTCAACCTCATGCGAACAAAAAATATCCTCAATTAGTCTTTTATTCAAAACAATGAATCAAGTATTTTGGTTAATCAAACAAGTTAATAGGTCTAATAGACCTATGCTCAAAGTTCGAATTGTAAGAATGTTTTTCCAAGACTGGGGCATCACATACAAATCATATCTAGAGTTGGTTCTGCATGATAAAACCGTAAGCTAAATTATTTGAATTTTTGTTTTAATTTCGAAATTTAAAACATATATTTTTTTTATTTTCGTGTATGTATTTAGATATTTTTGTACATGTTTAGTGATATATTTTCGATTTTTTTTAAATATATTTTCATATTTGTAATTTGACTTATTTATTATACATATCATGTATGAATTTAG